TCGGTGCCCAGCAAGCCCTCAGGGGGCGCTCTGGAGCTATCCACACCCAAGGTGAAGGGTGAAGGCCTGCCATCCATCCGTGGGGACCTGAAGACACCTGAGGTCAGTGCTCAGCTGCCCTCTGCTGAAATTGAGGCCAAGCTGGACCAGGTGGCCCTGAAGCTCCCCGAGGACCAGCTGCCTGAGGGAGATCTGGAGGGCGAGCCTACTGGAGCCGGCCTGAGCATCCACCTGCCAAAGGTGCAGATGCCCAGCCTGAAGATGCCCAAAGTGGCCCTCAAGGGCCCCCAGGTGGATATCAAGGGCCCCAAGGCTGAAGCAGGCACCGCTGATCTAGAGGTAGCTCTACCCAATGTGGAGGTGGCCATCCAGACCCCCAGTGCCAAGCTGGAAGGGGACCTAGCCCTCAAGGACCAGGATGTGTCCACCAAAGACAGCAAATTCAAAATGCCCAAGTTCAAGATGCCATCCTTTGGTGTGTCGTTGACCAGCAAGCCCTCAGAGGGTGAAGTGGAGGTGTCAGTGCCCAAGGTGCAGGGTGACGTGGACCTGCCCTCTGTCCACGGGGACCTGACGACCCCTGAGATCAGCGTTCAGCTGTCCTCTGCTGAAATTGAGGCCGAGCTGGACCAGGTGGCCATAGAGCTCCCTGAGGGCCAGCTGCCTGAGGGACAGCTATTGGGCCATATCGACAGAGCTGACCTCAAAGGTCACCTGCCCAAGGTGCACGTGCCCAGTCTGAAAATGCCAAAGGTGGACTTTAAGGCTCCTCAGGTGGATATCAAGGGCCCCAGGCTAGATGTGAAGGGCCCCAAGGCTGAAGCAGACACCCCTGATCTAGAGGTAGCTCTGCCCAGTGTGGAGGTGGACATCCAGACCCCCAGTGCCAAGCTGGAAGGAGACCTAGCCCTCAAAGACCAGGATGTGTCCACCAAAGACAGCAAATTCAAAATGCCCAAGTTCAAGATGCCGTCCTTCGGTGTGTCGATGCCCAGCAAGCCCTCAGAGGTCACGGTGGAGGTGTCAGTGCCCAAGGTGCAGGGTGACGTGGACCTGCCCTCTGTCCATGGGGACCTGAAGACCCCTGAGGTCAGCATTCAGCAGGACCAGGTGCCCGTGCAGTTGTCCGAGGGCCAGATTCTTGAGGGAGAGCTGATGGACCAGCCAGCTAGAGCTGACTTCAAAGGTCACCTGCCCAAGGTGCTCATGCCCAGCCTGAAAGTGGACTTCAAAGCTCCTCAGGTGGACATCAAGGGCCCCAAGATGGACATGAAGGGCCCAAAGGCTGAAGCAGACACTCCTGATCTAGAGGTAGCTCTGCCCAGCATGGAGGTGGACATCCAGACCCCCAGTGCCAAGCTGGAAGGAGACCTGGTCCTCCAAGACAAGGACATGTCCACCAAAGACAGCAAGCTCAAAATG